AACCCTCACACTCCCAAGATGTCATCAGTGATTCTCTTTACTCTCTGCACACCATTCTTATTATGTTAGTTCAGAGAATTTGGTATTGCATCAACTGTTAATTCCCTATTTGGTGTGTTTCTTTATTCTCATCTCTTATCTGCCTGGTATTGTATCAATATTTTTGGGAGAAATTCTGTCTTGGTCACTCATGAGAGGTCAAAGAGTAAAGAAGCCCTCATGTGAAAAACTTGGACTATTTCACAAACTTTACAGCCTCGATGGCAATTTACCACTTACTAATAATTTAATTTAATTTGGTTTAATTTAGTCCATTTTCACTGCATTAAGTTTTTGCAGTGGGGAAGGACTAGAAAGGAACATAAGAACCATTCGTGCTAGTCCACCCTCCCACCCATCCCACCCCAGGGGAGGACATCCATCACACAGCAATCTCGTGTGTGGGAAATTAACGTCTCCTGCCCCAACCCTGCAGGAGACGGGACCTCCATTTATTCGTCCCTATCCGAGAAGACTAGAATATCTAACTATTTGTTGATGTTATAGGAAGGTAGCAAATTCTTCTCAATTATTTTAAGACCTTGAGTGTTGGTCCTGCCGGGACTCGAACCCTCGACCTCCCGCACTACAGTCCAGCGCTCTATCCATTGAGCTAACCGGGAGGCGGTTGAAATTAGAAAGACCTTTGCTAAATCATTTGATTCTTTTGCTATTTTGAGTTCGCGGAACGACCGGTTCGAAATATACACACGCCATCTTTTAGAGAGGGTCTACCGCGAACGGTGTGTGAGTCTGTATGTTTGAGGGAAGAAAGATGACACATTTGGGTAAAGCGTTCATGTTAGCTCCATATCATATCCCAATAACTAATACACATTAATACCAAGTATTATTAAACTCATGTATGTAGCACGATGTGTCCTATATAACCTTGTTCTATCAGTTACCTTTGTTCTCCCTCATTAACCCACATCTACCGTAATTTACCCATGTTCTACTACGTTCACCCCCATATACCCCAGATTAACCATGTTCTACCACGTTCACCCTCATCTACCTTAGTTAACCCATGTTCTACCACGTTTACCCCCATATACCCTTGTTTAGCCATGTTCTACCACGTTCACCCTCATCTACCCTAGTTAACCCATGTTCTAAAACGTGTAACCCCGATCTACCCTTGTTTAGCCATGTTCTCCCACGTTCACCCTCATATACCCTAGTTAACCAATGTTCTACCACGTTTACCCCCATCTACACTTGTTTAGCCATGTTCTACTACGTTCACCCTTATCTACCCTTGTTTAGCCATGCTCTACCACGTTCACTCTCATCTACCCTAGTTAACCCATGTTCTACCATGTTTACCCCCATCTACCCTCGTTTAGCCATGTTCTACCACGTTAACCCTCATCTACCCTAGTTAACCCATGTTCTACCACGTTTACCCCCATCTACCCTTGTGTAGCCATGTTCTACCACGTCCACTCTCATCTACCCTAGTTAACCCATCTTCTACCACGTTTACCCCCATCTACCCTTGTTTAGCCATGTTCTACCACGTTCACCCTCATCTACCCTAGTTAACCCATGTTCTACCACGTTTACCCCCATCTACCCTTGTTTAGCCATGTTCTACCACGTTCACCCTCATCTACCCTAGTTAACCCATGTTCTACCACGTTNGATCAATTGGGAAGTTCTACCACGTTTACCCCCATCTACCCTTGTTTAGCCATGTTCTACCACGTTCACCCTCATATACCCTAGTTAACCCATGTTCTACCACGTTTACCCCCATCTACCCTTGTTTAGCCATGTTCTACCACGTTCACCCTCATCTACCCTAGTTAACCCATGTTCTACCACGTTTACCCCCATCTACCCTTGTTTAGCCATGTTCTACCACGCTCACCCTCATCTACCCTAGTTAACCAATGTTCTACTACGTTTACCCCCATCTACACTTCTTTAGCCATGTTCTACCACGTTCACCCTCTTCTACCCTTTTTTAGCCATGTTCTACCACGTTCACCCTCATCTACCCTAGTTAACCCATATTCTACCACGTTTACCCCCCATCTACCCTTGTTTAGCCATGTTCTACCACGTTTACCCCCATCTACCTTTGTTTAGCCATGTTCTCCCACGTTCACTCTCATCTACCCTAGTTAACCCATGTTCTACCACGTTTACCCCCATCTACCTTGTTTAGCCATGTTCTACCACGTTTAACACCATCTACCCTTTTTTAGCGATGTTCTACCAAGTTCACCCTCATATACCCTTGTTAACCCATGTTCTACCACGTTTACCCCCATCTACCCTTGTTTAGCCATGTTCTACCACGTTCACCCTCATCTACCCTAGTTAACCCATGTTCTACCACGTTTACCCCCATCTACCCTTGTTTAGCCATGTTCTACCACGTTCACCCTCATCTACCCTAGTTAACCCATGTTCTACCACGTT